TCATACATATTTAATAAAGTGTCTTTGAATTACACTGAAAGTGAGTCTAAAAACATTTTGGAAGGTTTTTTATAGACTATATAGTTGCGACGCTTAATGGCTATACATGTACCTGTGTCTCTGCTTTTCTCCTTTTGAACCCTAGTTTTCTTCTTAATCATCTCTAACTCAGCCTGCCTTAATTTCAAACCATGGCAATATCTGAGCATTGTGTTCTCTAGAAGACCTCTGGCTAGACATGACAAAAAGTTAGAGAACTCAAAGAGGATGTTTTTAGTTAACCTCTTGAAAATAAGAACATTAATGATTTGATAGCAAAAATACTCATCTATGTGTAATGAGCATTTATTGAGTATCCAAAATGATTCAAAGTAACATTTATCACAGAGAAATATAAAAGATCAGGATGTCTCCCTTGAAAGCATTGTAGCCTAGTATGAAAGCCAGACAAAAATATGAATAATTCTGTTAAAAGTGCATAACTACTAAAATTGGAGTCCGTTGTGGCATTGGATCTGAAATGATAATGATTCATATCCTGACTAGATGGTAACATTTTTTCATTTGTAGATATTCATTGCTTTTATAAAATAAATACCTTCAGAGATTTTCCCCCTGTGGTTTGAAAATGGAGAGCACACTTAAGTTTGAATTTTCTGTGGAATTTGCATGAGAGTATACACCCTCATGAAGATGATGTTTCCTTGACTGAGAAGTGTACAGTAGACATGTATGTAAAATAAAATATATAAGATATGCTTTTAGATGATAAGACATAGTACAAAGAAAACAGGTGATCAGTTTCAGGATGGAGTATTCTTTCTAGCTATGTTGATAATGGAAGCATTCTGAGCAGCTTACACTTGTTCTCATACCTGAGTGAGCTGATGATTTAAAAGCTTGTCCTCAGAGAAATACAATGGTGATAAAATTATGCATCTTTTCACAAGATATTCATGCTACTTGATTTTCTTTCCCCTTTTTTGGTGATTTTCAAGTGGGGAAAACAGAAGTAACTAAGTTCCCTAGGCGATTCTGTTTACTTCAAGTTAGAGATTGACTATTACCTGGGTAAGAAGAACCACTGATGTGTTGTTTCTCACCTTTGTTCCTTTTTTGTATTCTTGCTGAGGAAGAAGGCTATTTCCCAAGCACAATCTCTAGGAATAAATTGCATAAATGCTATAGCAGAATATATAATTGGTTTTGCCCAAACATTTTCACAGTAGTTATAACACATAAATAAATTGCCCCCTCTGAAATATATAAGTGTGATTATAAAGAGTATAACACCTTTTAACAAATACAGTACAATTATAAGCTCTGAGTAAAACTAGATAAATGAATTTGCTTGAGACTTGCATTTAATAGAGTCCCTATAAAATAATGTTGTATAATACAAATGTATGTACTGAAAGATATGTTATAGTCATGATTTTGGCATGCATCTAAGTGACTTCACATTTTGAATTTATATTTGATACTTAAAAACAGTCAAAAGTTACTTAGAGTCTGAAACTGTAATAAGGAGAGTAATATCTAGTAATAGTACCCCTTTCTTACTTCAAGTGGAGACATTTTTTGGTGTTGCTCATACTTCCTTAACTAGCTATAAAATATAAATTGGCCCAATAACATGCTAAAAATTTTAGTAACAGAAAAAGAATGCAATTTTCAGGATCCTATTCAATTTACATTATTTTAACAAGCTTACTGAAGTTAACCTTTAGTTTTGCCAAGGACATTTTTATTAAATTCTCAAAAATTTAGGTTGTTTCATTTTGTACATATCAGGTGATTATGAGGTGATTTTTTTTCTCATCAATCAAGGCATTGTAGTGAGAATATAAATTTAGTACCAATTTTCACCTTTTGCATAGACTACCAAATTTAAAATAAAAACTTCAAAATAAAATAAGGTAGAAATTTAAGATCAGAAAAATACAGCAGAAAGTGAAACTTGGTAAATTATTTTGAAAATTAAAATGCTTACCCAGTATACTTCTTTTTGATCAAATTAAGTGTACTATATGTATATACACACACACTTCATTCTGAATATATTTAAGTTCATTTCTTTGAAACTAAAGTGAAAAAATCAACCAGTATTTAAAGCAGTGTTGAGCTAATGCAAGAAATAAAAATAATTAGCTTGAGAAAAAAGAAATTATAACCAACTGTCATTTGCTAGACAAATACACAATGGCAAAGATGTATAAGGGAAACAAAATATTTGTCATTAAGGAGTTTTATGACTATTTAATTTATCTTCCTTAAATTTCAAATAGGGAAATGTGTCCAACCTTGGGAAACTTCAATAAGTCATTAATTATAAGACTATTAAATTGATTTGTCTTTGCTGTCTCAGCAGAAAACAGGTCAGTTAGCTTAAATCTCTTGAGTACACATTATGAACTATTGAATAAACACGTTCCTGTACTTGCTCATTCCTCAAAGCTCCAGGTAAAATTATCTGTAATAGTTATGCTGTACAACAGCTTTATTTATGAAGATTGTGTTGCAAAATAATCCTTACAGATCTCACTTAAACTTTACTGTTGGAATTATCAGATATGTCTTCTGCTTTGTTCAGTGAAGACATTGCTTGTTTCCACTTTAAATTTTAAAATCAAATAAAAAATAGAGGCAAGATTACACCTTAAGGCAGTTAGAATGAGCCAGGCAGCTTTATGAAATAATTATACTTGAAACTCCAGTTTATAGATTACAAAGAAGTGACTTGCTCAAGCAGCAGTGTCCAGATACAAACTTAACAGATGTGGATCTCAATCCCACGTTCTGATCTTGGCACTACAGAATTCTGTTTCTAAGCAATTATGAACAGGTGTTTTGTTAGATTTATGTCTTAACACATCCAGGTTTTAGGAATATATTTCAAGTCTGTCATTTCTCTTATAAAATTGAAATCACTTGGGCTTTAATAGAAAGCATATCTGAAGACTATGTTTATATTTGCAGAGATGAAATTTTTGAAAGTGTATTCAAACTCTGTAACTATGAAAAATATCTCACTATAGATTTTTCAATTGCAAACCTCAGATAAGGTTTACTGTTAATTCAAAGAAGTATTTTATCAAAAATAGTCTGTTGCAAAAATAGTCTGTTCCTATTTAGAACATTCTCATATGTGACCAGGGTTTATCTTTTTCTTGTTTGTCTCTTTTTTTGCCTTTTGCATTTTGAAGTAAAATAAATAAATAAATAAAACCTATGATGTGCAGAACACAAATACTTTATTATTCTTAATGTTTTCTGGGTTAATATTGAAATTAATCAATACATTTAAGAAGATTAGCTAATGACACATTGACTCCTCCTGAAAGAATAGGCATGGAATTTTCAGAGCATTTTAATGAATTTAGAGGATTATCTAATCCCAGAAAGAATACCTCTTTTTATTCAAGAGGTTTGCATTCTCTTTTTGGCTTCAGAAAAGTACCTAAACCATTTTTTGTTTATTTGTTTCCTATCTGGCATTCTTTTTGGCATATCCTGTTGGTATTGCCCCTATTGAGACCTTCCTGGAAAGCAGATCTTTTTGTTGTGGTGCGGAAATGCTTTTGTCTGGCTTCTAGGTCATGCTTTAAACCCAGAACAAATGATAGAGCTAAACACAATATGTGAAAATGCCAGTCATTAAGCTCATGAGAGGTTTTTTTTTTGTTTTGTTTTGTTTTGTTTTTAATGACTCAAAGCACTCAAGTTGCAAGTAGGACTATTTTACATTAAAGCCCAGTAATGTTGATTTTGCCAAAACTTGGAAGAGCTGTGGAAAATATCAGGACAAATATCTTTATCAAAAGACAGATTAGTTTTTGAAGCTGGTGTTAATTGGCAGCCAAGGTGTTTCATTATGAAGCTGAATTTTTAACAGTTGTTAACTTGGTTACTATGAAAACTTCAGCCAGAAGAAAACAGTGCCGTGTAATGGGTATTTCTCCATTCTCTCCAGTCCCTCTTGCCAACTCACATCAATAATGTGAGTTCGGTTTAAATACCCCTGTGTGCTGCCTAAAATGTGCCTGTTAGTTGTTTATTCAAGTTTATCTCTGGATAAGGTAAATTTCTCATAATCAACAGGTTCAGGGATTATCACTTTCGAACTGCAGCTGTTGTATTTTCTATTTTGCAATTCTGTAGGTTTGAATGAAACCTTAGGAAAACCTTGTTGAGAGCTGTTTTTTTCTTTGTAACCTAGAGCATAAAGCAAACCACAGGAAATAGATAAATTGTAACCAGACAGATGATTTCTTTGGATGAAGCAATGAGAAATGTGGTGCTTTATCTCTATGTGTGAGTGTACCTACTGCTGATTGTTTTTAAGGAAAAACACCTAAGGGCCATAGGTAGCAAGGTCCAACTGCTTATTTTCCTCTCTTATAGTAAACAGCATGAAGATGGTTTCCCTCCACACACAACATATCCAAAGCCCCTGGGAGTATGTATGCTTTGATATTTCCCCATTCTTATGTTTCACTAGCTAGCTTAGGAAAAAAAAAAAAAATGAGTTTGCTCAGTGAGTCTTCACCTGTGGCAGCAAATTCTTTTCCTTCCTGTCTAGAGTCATCCTTTTAATCTCAAATGGTTTTATAGTGACATATATCTATCTATAAATGGGGGTGATATAAAAAATTTGGCTTAAATTACCATTCAACAGTTCAGCCACTGAATAATTGAATTATGATTATAGTCTCATGGAAGCCTTTTCTATTGGTTCTAAGAAACAAGCATAGCCATATTTGTTGTCCTCCAAAACAAAAGGAGATTTTCCTCTTGCCTTGTCAAATTTCAGTTAGGGTTTTACAGAACAAAATAATGAATGCTTTTGCTGCAGCATGTCACAGGGGAGGCTGGGGACAATACTGAACTCATGCACACTGCTGATCCTTGCTTGCTGGGCGACATGTACACCTGGCTCTCTGACAGACAGCTCTGTGGGTTCACCAGAGACCTCTGTCATTCTGTTCACCTTCTTGTAGGCAATGGTCGAGACAGTTAACAACCTCCTCCAGCCACAAGCCTTGAATGCATGGAGAGACCTGACTACAAGTGATCAACTTCGTGCAGCCACCATGTTGCTTGACACTGTGGAGGAAAGTGCTTTTGTGCTGGCTGATAACCTTTTGAAGACTGACATTGTCAGAGAGAACACAGACAATATCCGTAAGCGTCCTTTGCGTCCTTTGCGTCCTTTGTTACAGAGAAGATCCAGCAGAAGAGGGGAAAGAAAATGTATCTATGGTGGCCCAGATATGAGGAGTGGTACTTAATGTCTGTGGATATGCTATTCTTTTTTTCATATTTAGGAGACTGTGACTTCTCATTGTCATAAAGGGTCTTCCTAATTTTACAGGTTATCTACCTTAGAACATTCCAACATGGGTATTTTAGCTTCATATCACTTACATTGAGGTCTGCTTATTTTTTTTTCAGTTTTTATGTATGAATGTGTGTGTGTATGTATAAAATTCTATGTAGAATATATATATATATGTATATGTGTATATATATATATAAACATATATATATACATATATATATATATATATATTCTACATAGAATTTTATCCTCTTAATGCAGGGTTTATAGTATATTGTGGGTAATTAGAGGGTCTTTGAATTAAATCTTATAAGGCAACTACCAGTCATTTAAGTGAACGTGACAAAACAATTTTTGGTAATTTGTATTATTGACTCATAAAGAATAATCTATTTTCATTGGGTATATGAGGACATCTCTAATCACTTAATTTTAGAACACTGATAAAGTTGCTTTATATGTGGTAGATTTAAAGATAAATCAATACTGATATAATAATGTAACTGGGATTAAAGGAAAGATTGCTTAATTTATAACATAAATATAATATTCAAAAATAAAGTTGAAATCAATGATAAAATATAAGGATTTAAGTTTAAATTTTAACTTATAGACTTTATAATTGATGCATTTGCATTTGATTTCAATAGGTGTGATATGCTTTATCTTGAAAATTTAAGATACTACAGAATGATTACTAGATAAAACTTAAACTGCTATTAAGCATTACAAATACAGTTTTAGTTTGATTATTTCAGAACTATTTCTATCATTTAGAGCACTGTCTTACTAGTGGCATTTTTCTAAATGAGCTTTAATATCTCCTTGCTCTCAACAGAATTGGAAGTTGCAAGACTGAGTACAGAAGGAAACTTAGAAGATCTAAAATTTCCAGAAAACATGGTTCATGGAAGCACTATCCAACTTTCTGCAAATACTTTAAAACAAAATGGCCGAAACGGTAGGTTAGCATTTATTTTTTTAAATGTGATGTAATTGAACTTTACGTCAACTCCCTGCTTCTTGGCTTGGAGTTTTAGATCATAATCCAAGAGTTCTCTGTATCTCTTCAAAATTACAAAATTAAATTCCTTTTCTTTTTCTTCTTCTCTCTCTCTCTTTTTTCTTTTTTTCTTTTTTTTTGTCTCCTGCACCAACAATATTGAATGATATTTGTTCTACAAAATTCTCAATCAGATTTAAAAGTTGTTCTGGTTCTTTTCAGTTGCAGCAAAATGTCAGTAACTTGAATATGAGGAAAATTAATGAACTCTAAAACCTAGATGAAAATGTATTTTTCATTGAAAGAGGTAACTTCAAGTTGATAGGCTGAATTTTAAAATTTTCAATAGAAATTTTACTTGTAATTTAAAAACTGCTTTTCCTTTACTATGGTGTTTATTATTATTATTATTTTCCTTTTTAAAATATGATCCTATCCTTTGCAAAACACAGAGAAAGTTTAAAGATGAGGAAATATTTTGGGGAAATGGAACAGATAAATATATGTCAGCTAGGACTAATTTAAAATCATTGAATATAATTAAAATTAAATGGATGAAAATATTCACAGAGAGAGAAAGTGTATCTTAAACATCACTGTTATTCAACTTAAAGTCCATATATGTGTGTGCTTAATCATATATCTACACAAACACACATATTTGCCTAGGAAATGAGATCATTTAACCAGTTAAATGATAGGAAAATGAACTTCGGTTGTAGTAAGCAATTCTAAGCTAATGTTTTGCGTAGTTTAGGGAAAAAAGAGCGTTGCGTCCATTAAATAATAGAAAAAACAAATTATGTTTGCTGTCATCAGCAAAAATTCCTTGTAAGTTTTGGAAATCTTCAAAGACTGAACTTGCAAATCACTATTATGTTGCTAATTAGACTATCTGAATTTTTGGAAGTAATAACCTAATATGGAACAAAATCAGATTCCTGTTTTGTTTCCTACTTGATTTCCCTCCTTCCATTCTAGCCCCTGCTCCAACAGTGTAGCCTGTTGATTAAAGGATTCTTCCTGAAATATTAATCTGACCTGTGGCCTTCCCTTACTCTTTGAATGAAATTAAATCAGTTTGACTTATCGAGGTCAACTATGTGCTACCTGGTCTACTTCCTTCCTGCCAAATCTGCCTAAATCACCTCTCACTTTAACCTTTCAGTGATTCAATTTAGTCCTGTTTTTTGTTTGTTGACATACAACTTTATATTCGTTTCAGGTGTATACATTGTAACTGCATCAGCCATTATAAGTCTAATATCTGCTGAGTGTTCATAATTAATTTTTTCTTGTGATGAAGATCTTGTTCATTGAACAACTTTCAAAATATACAATACAGTATTATTAATTATGGATGCAAATGTTCATAGAGAAAGTGTATCTTATGCATCACTATTATTCAACTGAAAGTACATATATGTGTGTGCTTATGCATATGTCTACACAAACACACATATTTTGCCAAGGAATGTAGACATCATGTTATACAGTATATTCTCAGGACATGTTTATTTTATAACTGGATGTGTGTAACTTTACTACCTTTGCTCATTTGCTCATCCTTAGCTACCCACTTACTAGCAATGTATTTTCTATATCATTTCAGTTTCTTTTGTTTTGTTTTTAGATTCCACATGTAGGTAAGATCATGTGGCATGTGTCTTTCTCTCTCTCACATTTTTTCACTTAGTATCATCCCCTCGAGTTCCATCCCTGTTGTTATAAATAACAAAATTTTCTTCTTTCTATGGCTAAATAATATTACATTTTAATATATAACAGTTGTTATATACATTCATCTATCAATGGGCATTTAGTTTAGTTCCATGTCTTGCTTGGCTCTTACAAATAATGTTTCACTGGGCATGGGAATGCATTTATCTTTTTGAGTCAGTGTATTTATGGTTTTCAGATATATATGCTTTATTATATGGTAGTTTTAGTTTTAAGTTTTTGAGGAGTCTCCATATTGTTTTCTCCAATTTGCATCAGTTTGCATTCCCACAAATAATATACAGGGATTTTCTGATTTAGTCTTGAGCACAGTAAGGATATTTCTGCATGAAATTTTTATATTTTCTTTTATTACTGAGATTCATTTTTTTCCAGTTCTTTGCAATTAAATGTCTCTGCTCTGTATAAATCTTAACATTGTTAGGAAGGTTTTCCCTACCACCTTAAACGTACACTATGCTTTCTCAATTACTCTTCCTTCTAGTCATTTTATGCCAGTACTTTTTTATAGCATATATTCGCATACCATTGTACAATTTATATTATTATTATTTTTAAGTTGTTAACTCTTCCACCAGGGAGTAAGCTCCACCAGAGGAGGGACCTTGTCTAACTTGTTCATTGGTGTAACCCTAGTATGGGGCACATAGTGCCGCTCATTAGGTTTTATTTTGTTTTTAAAGATTTGCTTTATTTCTGATTGCATACAAGAAGGGGTATAGGCCAGAGGTGTGGGGTGTGAGAGGATTCACCAGAAACAGAGTGGGAAGCAGAATAGGCAGATTGACTTAAATAAACTGCTGAGGGGAGCAGGGGCAAGACAGGAGAGGTCTGTTGTGCCATGAGGGTCAGCTCCCTGGCTGGGGATCCAGCAGTGGCTGATGATAGCTTCAAGGTGCTGAGTCTTTTTTAACACCTTGCACTACCAGGGAGGACACTCATTCAGGTTTTATCAAATAAATCTATAAAATTTCAGATCCAAAGACAATAGAAATGGAAACATGTCTGTATTAGTCATATCATATTTTATTTTACTCATTTTTCTCATAGTATTCATTTATTTTATTTACCAAATTAATGTAGACTGTCTAATCATCTTAAATTGCAAGTGAGGAATAATTTTCAAGTGGATTATCTGTAGCAATTATAGGTGACTAAACACACTTGTCAAAGGAGGTGAAATGGCAACATGACATCCTCTGAAAGTTGGAAATTAGCATGAATGTTAGACAATTATAAACCATACAGAATACTATTGTTAACCATAAAAATATATAATGTTGTTAAGGTCAGCTTCCAAAAGCAGTCTAACATTAAATCCAGAGAAAAAAACACACAAATTAAATGCCACATTGTAATGGTCAAGAAGTAATTAGTGCATTACTATAGTTCAGTCAGTACTATGTTGACAGCTGTGGACTAGAAGTTTAAGCATGCCCCCTTCCTTTAAGATTTCACATCGTAATCTCTTGCTGAATTACTTAAATGATAGTAGATATTTTCTATATTAACTAAGGCTGAAGAATCAGGCTCAGAAAACATACAAGAGCAAGGAGGCTGACAGCAGCCTGTGCCGTGGTGGAATCAGTGTTGAGACATCACTACATGTGAAAATGAAGCTACAAGTGAAGGCGCAGCCACAGGCCAAGGCTAGTGTATTGGATTGGATGGTTCTTAGTGAGGTGCCCAGAGAAATCTTTTGTAAATTAGGCTGGAAAGTAAGCATATTTCCATTTTGTGTCAACAAATCTCTAGGTATAGGGAATTTCCCAAACATTTTAGGTGTTTATATGTTGGAGAGCCCCCGCCCTTTAAAAAATTATTTGTCTTGTCTTTATTCACACTTGACTCTGAGATTCAGAGGCAGGTACTGTGACTGCCTCGTCTTGGTAAAAATATTCAGGTCAAGGTCTTTCTCTTGGTGAACTGCTATGAATTTATTTTAAGTTATTTTTAGAAAGTAGTACTTAACTTATTTTTAGAAAGGAAATGATATGATTAAAAAAACATGGTAGAGCAAGTTAATTTTAGGGAGGATCATGTGTGAGCTTATTGCAAGGATAAAAGTCAATTAGGATGCATGGGGATAGTGACCTTAAAAGAATATGATACTTGAGTTTCAAACAGGTAAAGATTTTGAATGCTTTTTCAAATGTTTGGTTTGTAAGTTACAATGGATATGCTACTTACATACAGTAAAATGCATATACCTCAGTGTTTAGTTTTATAAATTTAACACTTCTACTTTGCTCTGTATATCAAATAAAATACAATATGAATCTTTCCTATTACCTACAAAATTCCATGGTGCTTTATTAAAGTCTTTTCACTACTCTCTCCACCTGATAAAACTAGTTTCTCCTCATTAATATTTTTATAGACAAAAATTTTGCCAGACTTTATATAACTAGAATCATAAGCATGTGCTCTCTTCTATGTTTTCTAACTCAGCATAATATTGGGGGATTAAATCATGATCCTCTATCATCAGTGGTTAGTTCTTTATCAGTGCATAGTATATTCCACTGCCATATTTTATTTCTTCTATTGTATACTTTTTGAATCATTCCCAGTTCTGAGCTCCTATGAATAGCATACGATAAACATTCTTTTTTTTTTTTTAAATAATATAATAGTTTATTTTTACATCATTTTGTGCCTTTTTCCATCTCAGTTGTAATCCCAGTGGGCTTCCATCACCAGATCACCCATGTGCCATCACCATAGTCCAGTGTACTTCCCTCCTCACACAGTTTTTGATCCCATCCCCCACTCTACCCCCATAAAATGTCTCTGGTATAGTTTATTATTATTATTATTATTATTATTATTATTATTATTATTATTATTATTATTATTATTATTTTCTCCCCTGGTCCTTTATACTCCTGCTATGAGTGAAATCATCTGGTATTTTTCCAAAAAAGGCTTATTTTTAGCTAACAGTGTAGAAGGAAAGGAGAAGGTCCAGATACTGACCAAAGGTGTCAAGTGAGGCTGCACTACAGGAGCAAACAGGGTGTGGCATAAACGCTAAACATTCTTAAAAAAGATTTTGTGTTGTGTGTATATGTTTCTCTTATGTAGGAAACTAGATTATGTGTTTAATTTTATAGGAAACTGCCAACCATTTTTTCAAATCGTTGAACTATTTTTGCCACCCAAAAGCATTCTGTAAGAGATCCAGGTATTCCATATATCAACATTCATATTACCAGTTTTACAATTTCAGAGATTCTAACAAGTGTAAAATAACGTTTAAATGTAATTCAATGTTTTTTATTTCTTTAATTTGATGTTAATCATTTTTCATGTCTACTGGCCTTTCATATTTCTTTTTCTAAACTGTGTTTGTGACCTTTGTCATTTAATGTGTTATTTTTTAATTTAATATATATATATATATATATATATACATATATATTCCTGTTCTGTGGTTCTCCTATTCATTTTCTTTATGCTGTATTTTGATACATAAAGTTCAGCTTGCTTTTTTAATTGTACAGTTATGTTTTATAGGTGCTACCAAAAGCATCTTTGCCTTCCTCAAGAACAAAGATACTGTTCATATCTTATTCTAGAAGCATTACGATCCTGGTTTCACATTTTACTTTTAATTCCTCTTGAATTATGTTGTGTGTTTGTGCGTGTGTGTGTTTGGAATAGACTATAGGTAGAGGTTTATCTTTTTAATACCAATATGTAATTGTTTCAGCATGAATCCTCATGAATTTCTTGGCACTTTCTTTGACATGAATGTTTCATTTTTGCTGAGTATATTTTATAAAGAATTTATTGTGATCTAATTATAGTATCTGATTTAATGGTGGTGTACACTCTAGTTGGAGATTTTTTTGCTACTTATAATTTACATTTCCATTTATTTTAGGAGAGATCAGAGTGGCCTTTGTCCTGTATAACAACCTGGGTCCTTATTTGTCCACGGAGAATGCCAGCATGAAGTTGGGCACAGAGGCCATGTCCACCAACCATTCTGTTATTGTCAACTCCCCTGTTATTACAGCAGCAATAAACAAAGAATTCAGTAATAAAGTTTATTTGGCTGATCCTGTGGTATTCACTGTTAAACATATCAAGGTAAGAAAATGGCTTGTCATTTGTCCTGTATAACTTGCTTTTATAATGTGAAAGCCTCTCTCTTTCTTTCCCCTGCCATTTGACATGTAGCAATTTGTTATTTATAAAGTAATAGTTTGTTTTTTCCTGAAATGAGAAAGAATAATTTTTGAATATGTAAATACATATGGTAAAAACACTCATAAGTGAGTTTACAAAAACTTCTCATAATTAAATAGAGCTAGCAATATGTTCAGTAGAACTTAAAATGTCTTCACATATGATGTTACAAGTAATTATATCTGTGTATAGATATATCCATAAAAATACAACGGAAAATGGCCCTCCCTGGTGGCGCAGCGGGTTGAAGCACAGCACTGAGAATCTAAAGCCGCTTCTGCATGAGTTCGATTCCCGCCTGCCCCTGAGGTGACCACATGGTGTGGCAGACCTCTCCTGACCCGCCTGCTGCTCCCCTCAGCAGTGTACTTCGTCGATCTGCCTGTTCTGCTCCCCGCTCTGTCTCTGGTGAAACCTCTCACCAACCCTGAGCCTCTGGCCTGTACCCTAGTTCTGTGTGCACAAATAAATAAATCTTAAAAAAAAAAAAAAAACAACGAAAGACTTTTAAAGAACATCCTTTCAGATGCTGATTTCATACAATTTACTTTCCACTGCTATCTAAATTAATTCATGTAATTCTGAGAATGGATACATGTATTCCTTCAATATTATTTTTTTTTTAATTTTTTAATTTTTTTTATTATTATTTTTTTAAAGATTCATTCATCTGTACATACAGAACTGGGATACAGGCCAGAGGCTCAGGGGCGGCGAGAGGCTTCACCAGAGACAGAGTGGAGAGCAGAACAGGCAGATCTACGAAGTACACTGCTGAGGGGAGCAGCGGGCGGGCCAGGAGAGGTCTGCCACGCCATGTGGTCACCTCAGGGGCAGGCGGGAATCGAACTCATGTGGAGGTGGCTTTAGCCTCTCAGTGCTGTGCTTTAACCCACTGCGCCACCAGGGAGGGCCCCCTTCAATATTATTTTTAAGTGAATTCACCTCTAGTTAGGAGAATAAGCAACAATCTATATTCAGGATTGATGATGTCCACCTAATATGAAATCACTGGTAGGTAGCTCTACAAAAATTTGAATAATACGAAGTTTAGATGTAAAGAAAATGCCTACCTAATTTACATGAGTATAAGGTAGTTATTGGCTTTATTGATTTTTTTATTTCATGTAGCAATCTGAGGAGAACTTCAATCCTAACTGTTCCTTTTGGAGCTACTCCAAGCGCACAATGACAGGTTATTGGTCAACGCAAGGCTGTCGGCTCCTAACGACAAATAAAACTCATACTACATGCTCGTGTAACCACCTAACCAACTTTGCAGTACTGATGGCACATGTGGAAGTTAAGGTAAGATATAGGCCATCAAATACAAGTAGCTTAGTACACCCTCAGAATACTAAGGGTGTTCTGTAGGCCAGTCTCACTTCAAAGTTTTTTCTAATTTCACAGAAATTCAGAAACTCTTTAATGCTCAGCCCTGATTCTCCTGGAAGTTTAAAGAACTGTTTATCTTCTTTATTTACTGTTATCACTAGAAGCTTGCTTATAAAATAAGGCCTTGCTTCAAATCTTCCCCAATCTCTGTGCCTTTATGAATACACTTCAGATCATAACTTCATAAACAGGGCAAGATAGGACCCCTGGAACAAAGGCCAGGGCAAAGGAAGTTGGCATCTGGTAAGTGGAAGACTAAGGTGGTATTCATGGGGTTAACCACTATCAAACTGAGTCCTGGGAAAGCATCTGTTAAGCACAATACGCAAAGGTTGGTAATATAAAGGATTTGGTATATTCCAACATAATGTAATGGTTTTTGTCCATTCAATGAGGTGCCTTTATAAGAAAGAATTCAAGTGAAAAAAAAATTTGTAAAGTCAGAAACATAGTCGACTTAACTATAGCAGTCTCTTCCCAATACAACTCTGTCCAAAGGATTTAGATTTTAGATATACGTAAGACATAAAGATACAAGAGTTACTAGCTTGGTTATGGAGCTTGATAGATTGGTACTGATAATTTATATACTTGTGAATTCCTTTTTCTTTAATATCAATAAAAATAGAAGAACTGTTACATTCAAATCATTCTAATAAGTGAAAGTTGTAGCAAAGGTTTATATATCTGATTTTGCTTAATGATTTCATCCCAGATTTTTTTTTTTTTGAGGCTATTGAATTTAGAGATGGTACAGGTCTCCTAGAAGGAGACCAAATCCAAGCCCAATTAGTACCTTAAAAATAAAATTACTTTTGCTATGTCAACACAGTTATTTAGACTGAACACTGGCAAATTTTAGATTTAAAACAAAAATGTTTTATGTATGTCTGGGATTCTATATTTCAGCATAGAGAATACACTCAGAAAGAATCATATTTGAAGCAATGGCAAAATCAGTTTTTGCTCAGTTCATTGTAAAACAGCCTCTTATCTATTATGCAAAAGCATACTGATTGTGGCCATTATTGTGTATCAGCAAGACAAAATAAATGGAATTCAATATTTTCTTTTAGTAGCAGTAACACCATATGTATAGCCTGTATCATAATGTCTTGTGATTGCATAAGTCACTCCCATTTCAATCTTATAACATGATTTTGGTATTTAGAAAACAGAAAATAAGCAAACTGATCATCAGTTTAATCAATACTTTAACCAGTACTTTAACCAATCTTACATTAGATTAATGTCTTAAACAGAACACCAGTTTAATCATGCACAATGAGAAGTACAGCAACCAGTTAAAACAGATAACACTTAAGTTTGCTGTTGTCACAATTTAACCCTGCAGGAAAATCTATAAAAGAAACATAGCTGAGTAATCTTGAGAGCTATGCTATTAAGGCGTGGGATCTTAAACACAGGTCTTCATTCTGGGACTTCACCTTTGCACTGGGTTGCCCTTTTCTGTATTATATTTTCTCTACTGTTTAGTCAGCATTTCCTTCACATTCAGCTCTCAAAAAATTGTGACTTTTTTCTTCCCATCTGTCTAAGATATTACCAGATTTGAGCAATCTGCTAAACTTCCTGCCCTCAACGAACTTACATTCTCAAAAGGGAAGAAAAGGCAAACAAGTGAAGCTGCAGTCATAAGTTTGATAATTGTTATATTCCAGGTGTATTCTGTGTTGTTCAGACACAGAGAAAGATCATCTATCTGACACAACTAAACAAGACAGGGTTTATAGCTCTGGATGACCTGATATATTTGGTAGGGCAACTTGAAGAGAATTTACTTTCATCATGTTTTTGAAATGCTTTCTTTTTTTTTTTTTTTTCCTTCCCTCCTCAGTAGCTATTACTTCTTGGCTTCCTTTACTGGTTCCTCCTCATCTCCAAAATTTCTCATTATTGCTCTGAGCTAGAGTCTAGCATTAACATTCTTTCTCTCTACATAATCTCATATGATCGTATGGTTTTAACATCAGTTAAGAGTCTAAGAATTCTACCTATATTTATTTCTTAACTCCAGGCACATGGATTTGACCGCAGCCTTGATATAGTCACTTAGATTTCTAATAAGTATCCCACATCTGAGCTGTAATTTTGTTATTCTTATGAGTCTGTTATTCTTTCTGAAACGTTTTTCATTTGATCAACTTTAAATTTTCTGAGACTGGCCACGATTTTTGTTTTACCTTCCATAACAATTATGGGGTGAGGCAATCTGAAAATTTAAATAAGGTGGACAGGAAACTTCATTGAGAAGGTATTAACAGTGTAACGAAGACTTGAAGGAGATGAGGAAGCCACATTGCTGCTATCTGGGAATGTTTACAGAGGGAGATCTGTATTCTAACTAGAGTCCACTTAAAGTATTTACAGAAAAGCCAGCAAGATTAAAGCCAAGTGAGCAAGAAAAAAAACAGAGACAGGAGGCCAAGTGATGCTAAGAGGTTTTGGGAGAGGATTAGCTATTAGAGTCTTTACCTTCTTAGTGACCACTCTGTCCATCAATCTTTGGACCTGAGCTGTGTACCTTACTGATTTGTTTCTTTTCACCCATTCCAAGACCCAGTGCTATGAACATATCCCGCCTGAATCAGCCTCAGCCTCAGCCTCAGCCTCAGCATCTTCAATGCTGCCATACAGATTCAAGCATCTCTCACCTCTCTTCTGTTTTTTTTTTTTTTTCTCACAGCCCCTTACTTCATTTCATTTCTCCACTCTTTGTTGCCCTTACATTCATTCTCATCATGATTGCCAGAACATACTTTTAAAATGTGAGTTAGGCTGTCTCTCCTCTGATTCATTCTCAGAACACCAGTTCTGCAAATTCTTTCAAAATGCAAATCAGATACTTCAAATCTTTGATCCAATATGAATGACTCCTTATCTCAGTAAAGGCAAAAATCCCTAATCCTCCCCCAAATCCCTTAGCATCACTTGGCCTCCTCTCTCACTGCTGTTTTCTTTGCTTACTTGACTTTAATCTTGCTGGTCTTCTTGCCTTTCCATAAATACCAGTGGGCTCTAGTTAAACTGCAAACCTCCCTCTGTGAACAGTCCCAGATAGCAGCAATGTTGCTTCCTCATCTCCTTCAAGTCTGTTACACTGTTACCTTCTCAGTGAGGTTTTCCTGTCCACCTTATTTAAATTTTCAGATTGCCTCACCCCCACAATTGCTATGTGAATTAAAAAAAAAAAAAAAGTCTCCTGCCTCAGAAAATTGAAAGTTTATCAAGTGATAAGAGTGTTAAAATATTTTAATGGGCCTGTGAAAGAGATTTTACATCCAGGGCCAGTTAAGGTAGATGAATGGAGAAACACCCAACCTGAAGGCCCGAATGGAGAAACACCCAACCTGAAGGCCGTAACACCACTGTTTACTACCTCTGGATTCTTTTTACTTGTTACCTAAGGAAACACTTGATTATCTTTTTTTTAATAAAAAAAATCATTACAGAAATGTGGGTTATATCATTTTACCTTAAATTTTTGGTATTTCACAAATTATCCCTTTTAGGAGTATCTCTTCCAGGTTTATTCTCTGACGTTCATCAGAATGTTTAATAAACTGAATTCAAATATTTATCTCTTAGCAGTCACTTTTTTGTGAACATCTTTTGTAGAAGGAGTTCTCTAGTTTACAGAAGCATATGTTTCAAATTGGATGACTAATTAACATTTCCACTGTACTTTTTAGCATACTCTATGAAATGCTTTAGAAAAGAGTCCGACAGCTCATATCACCTATATTTTTCCTTTATTTAAATTATAATTATTGATAAAAACAGTTTTGAAGTTGCTTCAAGCCTTAGTAAGAGATAAACTGGGCTTTGTGTTTTTTTGCATTTTTTTTTCAGTTAACTTTATATGTCATTAAGTATTGAGAACATTTTTCCTCATATTGTTTTTATTTCTGGGTTGTAGCAGAATTTTTAAGCAGAGGGAAACCTGCATTCTGCTGATGCTTCTCTCACTTGCAGCTTGAATCACACTCTTCAAATTTTTAGGTTCATCTTCCATAGATAAAGTTTGCTAAAAATAACCAGTAAAGGTGCTCCTTCAATTCTAGTCAGAAATATTTAAGTTTATACAAATCTCAGAAAGGAGAAATTTGGTGGTGACTTCAACTGTCAGAAGGGTCCAACATTTCCAATAGTAAGAGAATTGAATATGATTGCTTTATTTTCTCCATATATTATCTTATTCAATCACCAACACCAAATATGTATTAACATAAAAAATAAGAATAACATTTCAAAAATAGGAGACTCAGGTTTCAGATCCTAGTTCTTTCAGAAACAATAGTGTCTTATTACTTAAGCAAATCATCTGAGCTTCCTGTTCCCATTATCAATGGTTAAGTGACACTTTTTCCCTAAATTATCTCTGGATTATTTTAGGGACTGAATAACAAAGTTTATTAAAATGTTGAGAATTGTTAAATTTCTGAATTTTTTTTTTCTCTGCTTGTTTAACTGTCCAAAAAGCTCTTTAAACTGTTGATATTAGGGATACGTCCCAGGCCCTGAGTGTCCTTAAAAATTAATTTTTCTACCTCTATGCAGAGATATTTAGGCAACTACTTCACCTTGCTTTTCAGTGGAAGGGACTTTACTTAATAATGTAATTGCCAAATACTAGATTATCTGTGTTAGTATCATAATTGCATATACCTTTCCAGACCTTCAAAATGTGGGTACTATGAATTCCCACAATATAAACAGCACCAAATTTAATGTTACAAGCAATCATAAGTCAATACTAAATACACAGAATTTTTTTTTTCATTGATTGGCTTTCTTCTTCATTAATAAGATTATTTTTAGCATTGACTAACTGCAGGAATTATTATTTTTATTGTATTAAACATTGGTATCTATTCACGCAATTTACCAATGCTTAAGAAAGTATAATCACTCAACCAAGCAAAAAAAAAAAAAGAAGAAGAAGAAGAAGAATCCTTAAAAACATCTTCAATTGCTTATACTGCTTTTAGTAAGAACTCATTGTTTCTAAGTGTACTTTTATTTAATCCAGTTCACAAATGTTTACCTTTTATTTTAGTATTGAGAGTATGCAGTGATTGCTTTAATATTTTTCCTGGCATATTTCATTCTACTATGAAGGTGGTAAATTTAAAGAACTACTGGACTCTAGCGGAATTAAGCTAGTTTTTCCAGAGAAGTTATTTATATAGCTTTCTGAGATAAGAAATAAGGTCAACTTGTATAAATAAGATTTTAAAAGCATTTGAACACAAATATGCTGAAACAAACTATCTTGTTATATTCAATTCAAGAGACTTCCACTTTACTGTATCTTTACAGCATAAGCATTACTATTAAAAGATCATCTATTTTTGGTGACTCACTGATTTAAAAATCCAGTTTATAAAACTTGTAAAATGTTCATTTTATAAAATTCACTATTAGTTCAAGTTATTGTCTCTAAACCTGTAGGTTTGTTTTTCCCAGAGTTGTTATCTAGAAACTCTACTCTGTTTAAAATGTAATAAATTTGTTCATAAGAAGGGAGAAAAGTCTACATTTTTTTTTAACTGAGGTTGCTTTAGTTAATAAGATCAAATGAAAATGGAATATGGAGTAAAAGTGTGTGTGTACACGTGTGTATACCATGTTGTCTATATTTATTTATATTTATATTGTTTTATTTTGTACTGACACATAATAGGTGTACTCAGTGACTATTATTAGACTGAATCTATTGAACTTTTGTTAGCTATATTTTTGACATGGGACACCTTCCATTGGTTTTTATAAATTTTATTACGCAAATTCTCACTTCAGTCTAAATCATTTTGTGCTTTTTAAAAGTTTACTTTCTCACTATAGTGATTTTATCTTGTCTTACATGCTAAAGGAAATGATTCTAAGAAACAAATGATATGTAAATGGTAATAATAAGCATCTTTGGGTAATTAAAATCTGGCATTTCAAATAATAGTCCAACTACTTTATCCCATTTAATATGGTTTAGCCCCTTTAAAAAGCACTGTCAAAATTTTTGTGTGTATGTGTGTGTGTGTGTATGTGTGTGTGTGTGTGTACAGTAGAGAAAACAATATGAAGAGAAGATAAACATAATTTCTGGAATCAGGAAGTCTGATGAATGACCCCCTTAAACCTTATTTTCACAAAATAAGTTATAGTCACTGCAGTCAAAAATAATCAAGAACTATTCACCCATGAAAACCTGGCTCTAAGCAATTTAAAGGATAATTTGGCCACAAAAAAGAATATATGAGAGTTCTTCTTCACTGTTAGTGGAGTTATGGGCATGGAGTACTGGCCACAAATTAGGATGTTCATGTTTTTAGAGAATTAATTGGGAAACAGGACTACCAAATTAAAAAAAAATTGCTATCTAATAAATAATTATGTATATAAGTATCATTACTACTTAACAGTAACAATTGGCAGTATTTAATATTAGTAAACATCAGCCATCAGCAGTAGTGCTTCATCAATAAACTAGTAGGAAATATTGCCATAATGTTCACAATTTAAAATTAAGTGGGCAGACTATCAGTGTAATTTATAGCAATTAATCCAAAATCAAAGAAGAACTTAGGGTCACAGCACTGAAGTTGCACACTTGAGGTGCCTCATTCAGAATAATGGCACAATGGATGATTCAATACTAAGAACTACAAATCATGATTGCCAAAGTAGTTGGGTGGGAGAGGGGGTTAACACAGCTGGAATAACAAAGGAAGGTGGATAATCAATGCCTCATCCATTAAAAACTAAAAATAGTGTTGTCTCAAGCCTCCTCTCTTGGCTATCATATAGATTTTGTACTTTCCTTCCAAATATCTGCACCCTTCTCTGATAGCTGTGATCAGTGTCTTAGAGGAGATTCACTTGATGCTGAAATATAGGGCTAAAATTAGGACATTACTGAACAAACCAGATAGCTAATCACTAGACTACTATTCCGATTTCTGCTGCACACTAGTTGAATAATCTTAAATAAAGTATTTATCCTCATGCCAATTTTGTTCTTTGTGAAATGGAGATAATGATAATATAACATAATAGTGTTTTATATGATTGAATACCCTAATAAAATAAACACTTCTAGTAGAATCTGACCCTTAGAAAGTGCATTGTAACTATCATTTTCCTTCTGTTTCTCCTCATCATCATTCCTGTATTTAACACTGAAGAGCTAAGGAGGAATTATTTTTATCTAGCTAGCTTCATTTCCTACTTAAATACCAGATACCTCTAAGATCCTATTTACTGCTTGATGTTTTTATTTCCTTTAAAATTTCCTAACCAGTACTGTTTTTTTGTTTATCAACTTTATCTTTAAAAAAAAAAAGAAAGTATAATAGCACTTAATTCTCTAATACTCTATGATATTTAGTTTCAACAGGTTCTGCTGTTTCCTGTTTCTTTCAACACAGTAGCTGCAAGTCTGTTTTACCAAATACATTGAGAGTTTGGTTTTATTTTAAAATCAAAGCAAGAAAATAAAAAAAAATAACAATATGCGTTATATACTGTGCTTCAAAAAGATTTACTAAATAAATTCTATTGAGTCCAATGGAAAATTGGTATAATTTTTGTGTGTGTGTTTTTAGCTGCCTGTACTTCTTTCTTAGAAATTAAGTCTGAGAATATTTAGATTGATTGTTTTTCAGTTTGGCAGAGATTTGAAATTATTGAATGGTTACTTGGTTAATTTACTATAAAGTTGTTAGAAATGAAATCATATTGTTCATCTTATTGTATTACTCAGTGTTGACCTTCATCTTGTTCTGCAAAGGAAATCCTAATAGGCCTACACTATTGATTTCTTTATTTTCTCAAGAATTTGTGAGGTGACCTTTGCATTTGATGACCTGGTTCCCAAGAGTTAGAGCAATACTACGAAGTTATTTTCCAGAGTTCACACCTCATTTATCAAGAATAGGTCTTCTATTACTTTACAAATATCACTGAAATCTATGTTTTAAAACAAATCCTTACTTGCATAATTCATTAATAATAATAATAAAAAGAGTATCCATAGGTTTGGAGAAAAAGAAAAAATAAAACTAGTTTAACTTTATTTTGATATTTCAGAATAATATATGCTTAAGAAACAGTTTAAAATTATATTACTATATTTTAACAATGTATCTCAACATTTAAATAACACATTTTCCCACAGAATGTAAAATAGGTTCCTGATAATTACTGAGCCACAGTTAATAATTATTATAGGGTAGTTATTCAAACAATGTCTGGAAAACATAACTTTCTAAAAATATAAAAAGGAAGAAATCATCCAGAAGAATTCAAATTAATTCATATAGTTTGTTTCCCATCTGGAAACACTTATGCAGCTAAAATAAAAAAACATTGTAAAATATACTTTTGCATCTTTTTTGCTGACTTGCTTTTGGGCTTTAAAATTAGGGGTGTTAAAATTTCCAGAAAAGGTCTTAGTGTACTCAGATTGAGCTATTTTAAAATCATGAGGCAAAAATCACATTTCCTAATTCCATGAATTTAGATTCAGTTTCACTAAATACACCTATTGGTCTACTAAACCGTTTCACATTGATAGAATGATATTCACAAAACTTCATTTTGTAAACTTTGTTTTTGTTTCTAATATGGCAATCACCATTTAGTTGAATTTGAGTTACTAAGCTATTCATAGTGATTTCAAGGAAATTCAGTGAAACAAAAATAAAAGAAAAAATTATAAATTTTCTGTGGGTATCACAAAATATTTGACATTTGAAATATGAATACAAACATCATAAAAGTCTGAAAAACAAGTATTTTCATAAAAAATATATATATTTAAGATTTATTTATTTATTCATACAGAGCTGGGGTATAGGCCAGAGATGCAGAGGGTGAGAGGATTCACCAGGGACAGAGTGGGGAGCAGTATTTATTTATTTATGCACACAAGAACTGGGGTACAGGCCAGAGGTGCAGGGATGTGGTGGTGAGAGAATTCACTAGAGATGGAATAGAGAGCAGAGCAGGTAGAGTGACTAAATATACTGCTGAGGGGAGCAGCGGGTGGGTCAGGAGAGGTCTACCACACCATTGGGTCACCTCCCTGGCTAGGAATCAAACTTGGTGCTTTAGTGACTGTGGATTGCTTCATAGTGTTGCATTTTAACCCATTGAACCACCAGGGAGAGCCAGCTTAATTTTTTAAATGGAGTATGCCCTAGCAGGAGTTGTTAAGAAAGTAGCCTTAAATGTGATATAGGTTAAAAAAAAAAAATTAAAAAAGATTTCCCTTGAACTGTCCAGCCAGAATTCTGTTTATCTCCTCTATTACTTATAACCTGAAAATATGTGTAGCTAAGAAAGCTGCAAATATTGACATGGTTGAATAGCAAACTGCTATATGCTTCAGAGCAAAGATAAACTGCTTTACCTATGGACTAGAAAACCCCAGTAATTAAGATATCCTATTCATTGTGTGTGTGAAGAATATTTAGTACTTTATTAAAACCATACCCTATGAAACCAGGCCCTTGTAGTAAAACTTTATTACTGCTTATGCATAATTTCAACTTATGACTTTTCTGTTGTCTTTCCAGCACAGTGATGCAGTCCATGACCTCCTTCTGGATGTGATCACATGGGTTGGCATTTTGCTGTCCCTTGTTTGTCTCCTGATTTGCATCTTCACATTTTGCTTTTTCCGCGGGCTCCAGAGTGACCGTAACACCATCCACAAGAACCTCTGCATCAGCCTATTTGTAGCCGAATTACTCTTCCTGATTGGCATCAACCGAACTGACCAACCAGTAAGCAACTTATATTGACATTAATAAACAATTTCTCCACTCTCAGTTGCATAGTGCTGGAAATATTCATGTTTACAAGTAGCTTCACTGCCATTGTTCTTAGAGACTAATTTTCAGATTATATTCAGTTTTATCATTATGTATACCCCATTGTCATAAAAAAAGAGTTAGCACTGAGCTTTATAAATGAATATCCAGAAATTCTATTAAAAATGTAGCTTTC